GGTGAGGGGGGGGACGGTATGAACATTGTTTATATATGATAGTTAATTGAGAAAATATATATATATATGATAAAAATAATAAATGATATTTAATTCTTGACTCGATAGCCCGTTTATTGGAATCTCCTCTCCAGAAGAAAAAAGGACGCGTGTCCTCTCTCTCCCTCTCTCTCACTGACATACAGTTTATAAAAAAAACTGCCGGTGTGCGCTGTGTCTACACTCTCTCTTAATGTGTATATAAGCTCTGTTATTTGTACATTTATTTAAATGCGATAACAAGAATGTAGCGTGTTATACACTTTGTTATTCCGTCAATCGTTGCGCGCTCCTCTCTCTACCCACGTCTCTTATACATATACATACATACATACATACACACACACACACACATATATATATATATATATATATATATATATGTATAGTAGATTCGTGTCACGATTACAAGTAATAATACATTTTACGAGATGAATGCGTTTCTCGCCGGCTGCCTTGAGAACATTCTACAAGAACACATTACATGCGCACGCGGTTATCTTTGTCGTTTCCTTTGTCTTGTCCTCTCAATTCGCACGCCAACAACTTCGTCCTCTCGCTCGTTCGTTGGATGACTAATGCACGTTCACTCCGCGCGGAGGAAAATAATCGACATCAAGCTTGGCGGATAATTAAAATCTTACAAAGCAGATAATACACTCTCGTAATACTCTACATTTAGCTGCTCGTCGAACAACTCGCTGATCTTTCCGTTTTATGTTACAGTCGAAGCGTTTAACATAGCACAAGCCCGTGTGATTACATTCGCGTCTTTGATTTTGATTACATCGAGTTTAAAGTTACAAGCTTTATACTTTCTCTCTGATTGGAAAACCAGAAATGCCGAATTTCACGTATATATATATGACACGTTCACACGATACACGCCACAATCGATTATCTCTCTTGCACATGGAAGTGACGAAGAACACTCGAAGTACACTGATGATCGCTTTTCGACAACACATTTCGCACAATACAGGTACAAATCATTTCTCGTGATTGAAAAATATCCCACAATATTTAGAATATAAATTTGAATATGCCGTGTTGTATGTCCATACATACATACATACATACATACATACATACATACATATATATATATANATATATATATATATATATATATATATATGATATTACGGCGATGCGCGACGCAGTGTCCAAGTTTACTAAGATTCATTGCGACGGAGAAAACGTCCGAACAAAGAAAATTACGAGGGAAAAATCTTTTAAGATAAATAAATTACACAGGTGGTTCCGACAAAAAATCTCAAAATGGATTAACAATAACAAAATCATCCGGGCGAAATATATATTACGATTTCATAGAAACGCTTCACAGTGATTATCGTATAATTACATCAATTCCAGCTGTATATCGATCTTTGAGCGCGAGTAAACATTTAATCACTTGGCAAAACTCGACGGTGTATGACGTAACGACAAAAATGTGATGTGTTGTGTGACTGGTTCCACATTGTGTAGATACTGTTTGACAAGATCGGTAATTAAGCGCGCGTTATTTACACAACGTCGATTTTGTTTGGCCGTCTCAACATCAACTGTTCTCCCGATTCAAGTATAAATAGAGTGTTTCTTAAATACTGTACATCTTAGAAGTCGATTTTTCAGGTCATTTCTCGAAGAAAAGTCGATACAAACATTTAGTAGCAAAGGTTTCGTTTTAGAGAAAAACAGGAAGTTAGAAATTCTATAAAGTTACAATTTCTCTTTAATATCTCGCAAATATCTCCTAAACTAATGGCTTTGTCGCGAAATCTATCAAGAGTATTTTTTTTATAATTTGAGATATAATTAAAGATAATTAATATTAATATTTTAATTTATTATTATTTAATTATGTACTTAATTAATTATAATTATATATTACTATTATTAATAATAATTAAATATAATTAAAAATAATTAATGTTTAATAAAAGCAATTTTTAATTAATGTAATAAAAATCTGATTCCGTTTATTGGCGTACAAGTTCGGGGCAATAATGCATTGCCTAAGTCCCGTTTTTTACACCATTGACTATTCTACATATTGATATTCTATACATTGACTATTTACAAAACAGCGACTATAGACGAAAGAATGAAGGCAACATCCTCTGCCAAGTTCACTGATTTGAAGGACAAACCTTTCTTCGTTCTGAAAGCTATTAAAAAGATAGATAATTTTACAAATTTTTTTAGCACTTTATATCTCCGATACGAGAGCTCTGAGAACACACACGTTCACATAAACTTTCCTTCATGAAATAACCTCAAAAGTGAACTCTTACAAGTATCGGATAGTACTTAAGAAACACCCTGTACAGGGTATCTGTATATATGTACAAATTTCATCGAAAATATGCGCATTTGGTACATTTTGTCGTTTATAGTCATATATGCACTCGTTATAGTTAACCATTAGTTAGCGCGACTTGCCAACCAGCGGATGTAACTGCAGGAATTGCAGTAGCACGATTCTCATTCGTCGAACGCGCTCAAGGCCTCCTGCAGTTTCTTGACTATCTTCTGGTAGAAGGCGATCTGCTCCGTGAGGTGCGTCTTTATGGCCTTGTTGATGTGCACCTCGCGCTCCGTCTGGAAGTGCGTCTCCTCGGCGATCAGGGCGCGCGCTATCACGTCGGTCCGTTGGGAGAGGTCGCGCAATTGCTGCGGCTCCATCTTGTGCTCGCTGACCAACCGCTCGCAGTCTTTCCGTTTCTGCACGGCGCTCTGCAAGAGTAAGAGAGACAACAGGCGACAGGCTGATTAATTAATGTCTGTCCGGATAAGAAGGCCAGTTAATTGACTGGCGACATTACCTTATGGATGCTGATGACGTCAGGGAAGTTGCTAATAATACCGCGATAAATGTGGAACTTGTCGGCCAACGGCTCCCAATCGAACTTGGGCTGCTCCTCGTAGAGTTTGCCGATGTCGTTGTAAGCATCGCCGGTTGCCTTCAACGCCCGCGTCAGCTTGCCGCGACTGTTGTCGTCCGCCTCGAGCGCGTGGCCGAGTGACGTGAACGACTGGCTGATCTTCTGGAACTCCCTTCTATACAGCTGGTGCTTCTTCGCCTGGTCCACCACCATGGCCATGAAGTTCTTCACCACCGGGTCCAAGCCGCTGATGAATCTGCTGAACGTGTCCGTCTGGATCTCCGTCTTTATCGCGTCCAACACTATGTCCGCGCATTGAATGGCGTTGAAGTAATTCACGCCCAGCAGCTCGTCCCTCTCCGCTTTCCGCTTGCCCGCTTTCCATCGTTTCTCGTCCGTGCAGGTCATGAAGTGCTCCCAGACGCTACTGCGCGACAGCACCGGGTGCCGACACACGTAGTCGACGAACTCCTGCAGCTGCGTGCGCCGATGCTGGATGAATTGTTTCTCGTAACGACCGGATATCTGCTTGTCCGGTAGAGGCGGGATCGGGATGAAGCAGTACTTCTCTTCTAAGCGCTCGTGCAGCCAGTCGAAGTGCTTGTACCTCCTTGAGACTTGTATGCTGTTAAACTGCGATACAGAGATATTCACGTTAATGCTGGTTCGCCATCATTTTTGTCTGTTGTTGTAACTATTGATGTTACACGTGGCGTAAACAATTATGCCGCAACTATATAACACTAATTACAATACCGAGAATTATCAAATTGGTTTTGTTAGCTATATAAACGTGTGGCCTGATATCTTTATGTACGAATGTCACTAAAATGAATACTAATATAAATTATTATTTATATTAGTATATACACACAATATAAATATACACACAACATATACAGGGTGGGTCAGTAATGGTACAATCGAAGAGATAATTCATCTTGAAAAAATCAACCGAAACTGCGGAATAAAAGTTTTTCACACGAGATTATGTTTTCAAGAGAATTGGCTCTGAAATTTAGTCGAGTACGCGTGCACTTAATTAAAACACCAAACGGATCCCGAATACAAACCATATCTCACTTCTACACGTTTATAAACAACTATTACATGATGCTCAATGCAAAAAAATATATCTCTGTATTTTCAATTAGTATATCTTATCATTGTGATAAATCGATAGGAACTGATGAAAGATAAACAAAGTTGATAGATAATAAAATAGTAAGGCGGTAGATCATGACACTGCATTATGAGTTTCTCAAGCACATTGCATACAACCGCACGTACCGTTTAACGACGCCTCAGGTAAGTAAATATTCAACGTTTAAAGTCGACTGTTTTGAAAACAACAAACATCGAATGAAAAGTTTTCATTCTACATTTTCGATTTATTGTTTTTAAGAAGAATCATCCCCTTCCTAGTTGTAACACGATTACTGGCCCATCCTGTATATAACACACGTCATATAATATAACAAAATAAAAATAAATATAATAAAGTATAACATACATTAATATAAATGATAAAATACCCATAAGAATGTTTAGGCTACGGTGTTAACGTGGTTGTAATCATAATCGTGAGAAGACTGAAAGAAGGGAAAGATAGCGATCCTCTTTACCGTAGGAGTTAACTGGTAGACAATGAAGCTCTTCAGACCCTTCAGCTTGGACTCCTTCTTCGGGGACGTGACGACGCAACTGTACGGATCGCCGCGCGGCGCCCACGTGCACCAGCCGCCGTAGCTCTCCTGTATGTAGATCTTCTCGCTCTCAGGCACATTTACCGTTCTGGTGCTCATCAGGAAGCTATCCTCTCCCGACTTGATAAGCGTGGAAAACTTATTGTTCTTCTTTGGTACATTGGGTATAGGTCTTTCGGGTATCACAGAATGTATAGGCATGGACGCGTGGATGCAATTGTCGTGGTCGGCGTTGTTTTGCTGCGCCGCCTGCTCGGCATGCTGCTGCGTGCTGGATGGCACGTACGCCTGCGTTTGCCCAACCTCGGAGTCGTCGTCCCAATCGTCGTCCCAATAATCACCGGAGCTCTGTTGGGACGATGTCATAGCATCTGTGCACATGATAACAGAGATTGAGTTATCAGCGGTGACGTTACGATCGCGTTTTGTCAAAAGTGATTGGCGCTTATCTCTCTTATCAGATGGCTGCTCGATTTCAGCATATGGCATATAGAGACAGAATGAAAAGGAACGTGCAGCCAATTGTGTGTGTGTGTATGTGTGCCTTGTGTAAATATTGCGTACTGGAAGGTGCAGCTTGCTCGACCACTTGGACATACGCCGCTGGGAACAGGCCGGACCGGCCGCTCTGATTGAAGCCCTCGCACCAACCGTCCCCCACGTTGTCTCGCATGACCGTCAGGAGCTCGCCGGCAGTGATGGACAATTCCGCTGTTCCCGCCTCACCGGTGAAGTCGTACAGCGCTCTTACCTGAAAAAAGAAGAAGCGGAAAGGATCATCAAAGGCTTGATCGTCGTGTGGGACGTAAACGACGAGAAATTCGCTCGGCTCGCGCCCGTGATACAGAATGAGTCATAGCGGCCGAGAGTTGATCGAACTTGGAGCAACGATTGTACAGTCGCATTTCGTCGGCTGTGCGAAACTCACGTACCTGCTGGCCCTCCATCGTGAACGATTCACGGCCGATCACGACGACGTCCGCTGGACAGTTTCCTCACAGCTGTGGAGAAAATTCAAATCCGCCGGACGCTGCGTCCGGTCACATTCCTACACTCTCGCCTTCTTCCACCACGGGTGCTCTGACATTTGCGCGCTCACGAATGCACTTTACACAACGTTCTGTCTGTACACTCCGCGCGACACTCCGCGCGAGCAACACCGTCGCTGCTGGCGACGACTGTACATACACACCGTGCGAGCAAACGCTCGTTCCTCTCAATTGCACCTGCTACACCCCTCTTCGCTTCCTCGAATTTCCTCCTGACTCTTTTCTCCCGTTCGGCAGCATAACCTAAAGGTCCATCGCACTCGTCGTCTCGTCCTTTCTTCTTCTCCCTTTGAACGAGAAATATATCATGTCGCGGGTGCGGAGGATACGAGAGAGGGAGAGGGGCGGCTATAGATACGGGCTAGTTTTGTTATTTCACGCGAGGTACAGAAGGTGCAGGGAGGAGCAGCTGAGAAAGGAACGGACCTTGACAGATGACGTTGCTCCACCTCCTCCTTCTTCTTCTTTCTCCCTTTTTTCCTGCCTTCCTTATCGCGCGCTCTCGCATTCTTCGTCAACGGGATCCGTATAGGCCGCCTCCTCTCGATAAACGCGGCTGATTAAACGCGATGACGATTTCGCAAACGACCGTCACGACGACCGATAATCGGTCATTCCCGCGGAGTCAAGAATCCCGGTACCACCGGATCCGCCTCCGTCGGGAGCGCGAAACTTTTGAAAAATTTTGATCGATATTGTCCTCCTCCCCTATCCCCCGCCAAGATTCGTCGTTACGTAACGCCACAATTGAATTTGGATTGGCTACGGGGCTATAATGACGGCTCGTAGCGGCGTCCGAGTGAATCAGCGAAGGTCCACCGATCAGCTGTTTCGTACTACTAAAAAATAAAAGATCCGCCCGCCACGCCACTGAGTCGCACCACTGTCGTCGTTATCGATGAAGAACTGGGAGAGCTTGTTTACAAAATTCGCATCACATCGGGAAATATTAACCATATCCAGCAGAACGTTTATTCGGCAACTGCTGAAAGCTTTCTGAGCTGAGATTGAATTATTCTTTCGGATCTACGGAAATAATCTAATTTCTGCACAGAATCCAAATACAAACGCTAGACACGATATACAAACTTAGATCCTGAATTTTGAACCTTTTTTATCGATAAAAGTGTCTCTAAAAGTGATTTGGGTACCGCCTGATTGGCTAAGAAGCCGCATTTGAGATACTTTTATCAATAAAAAAAACGAATTTGGACTTTAATATATAATTATATACTTGTAATTATATACTTTGTGATTTGTCATTGCGACAGTGCACGTTTAAAATATACTTGCTTTAAGAAAGACTCATTTATTATTAATTCTCACTCATTACTCATTTATTTACCATCATTTTAATCAAAGTATTAACTTCTTATTGCTACAATAATGATACAGATTAATCGTGTTCTCTCTTTCGGGCAAAATAAGCGGCAATATATTCATGGCATCAGAATATCGCTGCACTTTTCACGGCATCGGATAATCCTTCTCTTATATATACTGATAAAATGTTTATTGTATATGAGGACGCATCTTAACGTACTTACACTAGTCACGATATACAGGCGATATACCGAAATATGTCCACCTATGGGGAGAACTTTTAACAGTTGTGTGAAATAAACGGTTCCGCTGAACGTGGGCCATCGGACGTTGGTGATACATGGATGTTTCGTGAAATAAATTCAGACCTTATACGTAATAAGTTGTAACATATATTTCCATAAGCTACATTGTATATAAATGTTCTCGTGGTTAAAACGAAAAGAGAAGATAAATGTCAAATTTAGTAAATCCTTACGCTTACAAAAATGCTACCACAATGAAGACAATAATGGCTATGTGTATATATATATGTATATATATATATATACTTTTCACATTACGATAATGCAAAATACATTGAATCTCGCGTTATGCCGAATGCTGTTCCGATGCTCGAGGATGCTCCGTTATTCGCGACTGAACTTGGTTCCACTCGTGTGTGTGTGTGTGTATGTATGTGTGTAATTTTACATACGGTATAAAACATACTAAAAGATCTATACTTTAAGACGCAAGTTTTCCAAGCGGGTTTTTACCGCAAACCGGGCTCCACCATCCCGAGAATATTCCGTCGCAAATTACACGGCGTTCGAAGCTTCAACCGAATCATACGCGGAAATCATAATAATCCAGAAGATACATGTGTGTTGTTTGTGCAATAATAGAATTCACACGTAGAAGCAGTATCTCCGATATCTCTATACCTTTAGTCCCGGGGTCGCTTATTAATAAATGTAATTAATGATTTCGTTAATTCGAAATCCTCCGTCTTACATCGCTAAATTTCTCACGGCGCCGGTCGGCGAAGTGCGCGTCGCGTCACACATGCGCCTTACCATCCCTTGGGATCGAGGGTTTGCATGATTTTCAGCCTTACGAAGTCGAGAATGGCGGTGCGTAACCTTTTTAATTACAACAGCAAGACGTGCAGCAACGCGCAGCGTGCGCCGACCGTCCGCCACTAATTCGCTAACGAACAAACAGATTACGTGGATAAAACGTTGAAAGGAAAATTGGCCGAAAGCGCTCTTGACGTCTCGTTAAAATCCGTAGCGATCGTGAAAGTTATATATAACAAACATATTGCAAGCGAACGAAAGATCCGATATTACGACGTTCATGACTCCGTCATTTCCATGCTGTCGTCGTCCCACTCGGTGGCGAAGCTCCGCACCTTCTTCCCGCCGCGTCGTTTGCTCACCGACTTGTCGGTGTCCTCCTCCTCCTCCACCTCCTCCACCTCCTCCTCCTCCTCCTCCTCCTCCCCCTCGACATGCTCCTCCTCGATGATCATTACGGACTCGTGACCCTCGTCCGTGGCGTTGCTCTGCTCGCTGCATTGCTCCTCGTCGTACTCCACAATCTCGGTCTGCTCCTCGACGTACTGTATCACCTCCTCCACCTGATTATCAGCACAATCCTCCAACATGTCCTGTGGCACCTCCTGCATCTCCTCCTCTTCCTCCATGACCTCCTCCTCGACCTCCTCGACGACTTCCTCAACTATCTCCTCGGTCTCCTGCGAGACGTCCTCGGGTTGATAGGCCTCGTAAGAACGGCGCTCCGAGTCCTTCGTGCTTTCGTGAATGTACACGATCATGCCGTCCTCAGTGCCCTGCATCACTATCTGCTCGTTATCGGCAATGTCGAGCTGCTGTGGCTGCTGTTGCTGATGATCGTTTTCCACTTGCTGGTAATTCTCGTTGTTCACCAACATGATCATGTGCTGGCCCTCCAGCTCGTGCTCGTTGTAATTGATATTATGCGCTATGTTGTCCAGCTGCATCTCCGGCACGATGTACTGTTCGCTGGAGCTGCTCTCCTGCGTCTCGGACGCTACCGTGTCTCCCACGCCGAGGGAAGCGGCTATCCCGCTGGCGACATGGCTGAGTGCCTCCGCTTCGGACGACGGCTCTAAGGATATCGGCTGCGCGGACGTGGTGGACTCGGTTTCTCGTAGCTCCTTGTGATTACAGTCCAGGTGTACCTGCAGGTTCGTCATCAGCACGAACATCTTGCCGCAGTACGGGCAACGGTGGCCCTTCTCCTTGGGGTCCGTCATACCGCCGTGTCCGGTGTTCAGCTGGTGAGTCGTGAGTTCGGTGAGGGTCCTGAATGACAGATTGCACTGACCGCAATGGACCTCCTCGGGCAACGAGTGGTGCCGGGACGGCGGCCGGTGATCGTGATTGATCTGATGCCGCACCAGAAGGTTCTCCGACAGGGCAACGTACGAGCAGGACTGACACTTCGGGAAGCACAAGCTTTTAGGGGGGGGCACGTTGTGCTTTGTGTACAAATGGTACATGAGGATGTTGCGCTTGGTCGCCTTGTAGCCACAGTGCTCGCAGATCCGAGGATCGAACTTCTCCTCGTGCACGTCCTGCATGTGTCTTCTGTACATGTAGTAATTCGTGTACTCCTCCTCCAAGTCGCACTTGTTGCACTTCCACGGGCCTGTCTCGTTGCCGTCGATACTGCCGTTGCACTTGGACTCGTTCTCGTCACCGTTGTTGCTTGATAACAAGTGATCAGATTTGAGGACTACGTAGGACACCTTAGTCTTGCACGCGGTGTTGCTGTCCACAGATTTGGTCTCCTTCTGCATGATCTTCAGGCGGATGTTCTTGTTGTTCTTCACCAGATGCGGGTACTTCTTCAGCACCTCCCTGATGATCTTCGCGTGATTGTTGATAGAGTCCTCGGAGCTCGGGCGGGCGTTCGACTTGGGCTTCTCCACGTTCTCCTTCTCCTCCAGATCGAAACGGACCTTCTTCGCCGATCCGTCCTGGGATCTCGAGAATGACTTCGATATGCTCCAATCGTCGTCCGAATTTGTGTCCCTCAGGCCTTTGTCACCTTGACTGTCGTCGTCCTCATCTTCGGTAGTGTCGTTTTTACTGTCCCTGTCGGGCGAACGTTTGCGGGAGGAACTTCCCGTTTTGTAGTTGTCGGACGCTTGCACGATTGGCTTCGTGTTATATGTGATGTCGTCGAACGAGGAGAACACCCCGAGAGCGATCTCGTCCGCCTCTGGCAGATCGAATCTGGACGGACCTGGAGTAGTTTCTACAGGTCTACCGATCGAGGATACGCCGTGGAATGTTCGTAATTCGTAGTTTGTCGCCGGAGATTCTTCTATCTTTCTCTTCCAAATCGGGAGTCTTTCGCAACGAGAAAGGGATAGTTGTTAACACTCAATTTTCTCTGAAATTACGCACGAAGCATTGCACGAAATTAAAGTACATACTTTCTACCTGGTAACGGCTGCTCAGACATGGTGGACGATGCCGAGCTGGTGGAGACTTTAGCTGGTGTTGGAGGTTTCGAGACGGCTACGACCGGGCGCACAGTGGTCTTCGCCGTCTCGCTTTGCAAAGTGCTTGTGTTGAATTGAGCGTCGAGTAATTTCGTCAGCACCGTCATATTCATCTTTTGCGCGGTGCGGTACAGCGCGTGCTGCTCTGACGTCCAGTACTCCAATTGTCCAGTATACATAAAGCTATATATACACACAGGTGACATTTCATAAGTCGCACTGCCGGGAATTTTTCACACGTTGACTGCCAACTACGAGATATCTCGTAGGTTGTTTACTTGCCCAGGACGCCAACTACGAGTTATCTCGTCGCTTCATTACTTGATTAAATCAAATTAGCTTCTTAGACCAGAATCGTGAAAAGTTCCATGGCAGTCAACGTGTTAAAGAACATCGACGATTTGTCTCAGCATCTCGTATTGAGTCGCACACATACCTTATGATAGACTTAACACACTCGTAAGGCATGTCTGAAGGCATGACAATTATACCATCGTAGTTTTCATCCTTTTCTTTCTGCTGACTTTCCAGTTTTATAAAATAGTCTGTACATACTGATACTACGAGCCGATGTGCCTATAGGGTGTTTAGTTATACAGAGGATATAATTTAATTAACAATGTCATCAATAAAATTAGATACATTCTGCGAAATATATACTAAACTAATTATTTAATTAATTTGATTAATTAACTATTATGGAATATTATTATGGAATATGTGCAACATGTTACATTTACCTGTACAGTGATCTCACTAGTGGGGAATCTGATTTTAAGATCAAACAGTTCTTCATCAGCATAAATTTGCTGAAGTCTCTGTAGAAAGAATGTGCCCCAGTTATCCACTTTTACTTGCTTCAATCCCCGTGAAGGGAGCAACTTCTCTCCCGATTCCATCACTAAGCGATCGATTGAAAATGTCAATACATCTAAGATCTACAATTCAATAAAGTTATGTAACCTTTGAATAACATAGGAACACATTATGTCTTATGGGAAATAATAAAAAAAAAAAAATTAAAACCCAAGCTGCTAACAATGAAGTGAAATAACACTCACAGGTTTTTGATTATGTAAATTTGACATTTGAACACAGTCTCTCTCTCTCTCTCACTCTCACTCTCTCTCACTATCTCTCCAAACTATTTCCATCATTCGCCACTTTGTGTGAAAAAGACAAGTCCCAGATGAAATTTACCTACTAACTACCGATACCGTCCGCGCTCTTGCAGTCTCACAATGAACAATAGGCAGAGAGCCGGGGGTCTCCTGAATTCCCCACGGAAAAACAGTCAATAAGATCTGCAGCAGCGCGACGAGTGCGGTAAACCGATCCACCCTTACTCGCCCGTCAAGGACGCGAAGAGCCATATGCACGACTCGCGGCTATGCGGTGCTCCACATAACGTGAGATCGCTTCTCGTGCGTACCTTACGCATCCCGCTACATTAGAGGACACGCGGCTTCGCGAGCAAAAAATTCGAACGCTCGAAAAGCTGGCGAGTAGCAGGCGAGACCGGGCGAATGCGGGGCGAACGGGACGAATTGAGCTCGGCGGGGACATTGTAATCGCGCGAGCACTGTCTCGAGAGGTCCGAAGAGGACGCGCTGACCGACGACGCGTACGCCTTCTCGGGCGAGACGCTCGCGTCGCACCTCGGCCGTGTCGTCGCATATGTGAAGATGAAAATACCATTCACGCCTAAATCACGTACCTATTCGGCAGAATATCTCAATATTTCCCGTTCAGCACCATCTCTCACGAATTCTCTCAGTATACAACTGACACTGAACGTCCCATTATGTGTCGTGACTCACAGATGGAGTTATTCGCGTTCGATCATGACGATCAGCAGCAGCAGCAGCATAGCAAGGCGAGAACTCACGGAAGCGAAGAGAGTCGCGTGCGACACGATTACCGAGCCCCCCTCCCCTCTCACCCAATGACGTTGTCGACCTGAGGGACTTGATTGGTGGAAATTGTCCTCGAAATGCTGAACTTTTTTTTTCAACTGCGCTCTCTCGTTCCTACTCTCTTCTCCGCGACACAGGTGTGCCTGTTTTTACTTTAAGCACGAAAGATTTTTGTAACAAGCTTGGCATTTCTGCTGTATTGCTAGGAATGAGAGAGATTGTGCTCTTGATTTAAGAATGAGTTGAATGGAAAAAGAGGTAAAGTAAGTAAGAGGTAAAGTTAAATCCAAGCGAATTGACTAATCGCATTTGGGCGAATGTTCTGAAACTGATGAAATGATAATTGGTCTGTTTTTTTTTCTGTTTCTGAACTGGGTTGTATTGTTTTTATCGTTAGAGTGAGATAAGTATATGGTTTAATGCCGAAGGGAAGAAGGAACGAAGCAGCTCTAGTTCAGGAATGGAAAACAGATCTAACGTTGCAACTCTCGGCTGCGATTGGCCAATTCGCTTACTGGTTAAGCTTGTCGTTTTTTTCCGTGTGCCACGGGCAGCTGCCCATCGCTATCGGAATACAGAAATAAGTTTAATTAATTTAATTCAAGCAATTTGTCAAGACCATCCATACCGATGCTGGTGGCCTCTAGTGACACGGCTGATGAACAAAGCCAGAGTCGTGCACGCGATTGAAAACGATCCTTACGAGAAAACGAGACAAGTGTCTCCGCGCTGATATTTTCAGGAGAAAATGAAAGAGGAGAGCGAGTGAGACGGTACGTGGTTACATCGAGGTTCACGGAATTTTTCTATGCGTGATAATCGAGCGATATTCTAACTCGATCGTCATTGAGAAAGAGCAGAAACCGACAACATGAGTGCCACGGCGACTGCGGGCAAAGGAATAAAGCAAGAGCTCCCACCGAAAGGAGGCTATGGCCCTATTCAAATCGAGAGGATTAAATTACGTAGTATCTTTGGCGGTAAACAACACAGTTTCTTTATTAATATGATCTTGTTTGTGTTGAGGCTCTTTGACGAAAATTCAGAGAAGTGTGTGTGTGTGTGTATGCGTCAGCGTTATCTAATGTTCTTGTGAAATTTGACAGCGAAGAGCACCTTTGCGTTTCTCATAGCTAGCACCTGTGCTGGCATGTACGCCTATCATCTGACTTTCAAACAGATCCGAAGAGAGGAGATCGAAATGAGAAGCGCACGTTTTGCTATATGGCCGCTGCTGCTGGCCGAGCGAGACAGAATGTAAGGGTTTTATATATTTTTGATCTGACGTATCATTGACCAAGTGAAATTGATACGATATTCGATGAGACGTACGATGAAATCTCTAACTTGATGAAACTCTTTCATTTCAGTATTTTGAAACAAATGAGGCGCAACCGGGATGAAGAGGCAGAGTTGATGAAGAACGTCGAGCGATGGGAAGTGGGTACGTACTATGGGGAACCGATATACTTCTTGGATGATGCAGACCAATACAGGGATCCTACGTTTTTTGAACATTTCGCACATACCGATCCTAAAATATACATGGATCGTGTTGCTCGTCATTTGTTTACGTAGAAATAACGTCAGCTTTCGGTGTTTGCGCAAGTAAATTGACAGTTATGTCTAAGTCACAGTTACAGTTGAAATAACTTGTGCACATAGTCAACGATGATAATATTGTGTAATTATTAGGATCTTTGAGTTTCTGTGAGTAATGGGCCTGTGGAGCAACAGGTCTAAGAGCGAAATAAAATTATATAACAATCTTTTCCGTTGGTAACCTCTTTCTCCCTCCTTTCTTCTCCCGGTCAGTAAGGTAGAGAGGGGGTAGTGCTTGGTCGATAACGACTTCAGATACAAAAAGAATCTTTTCCTACTTGATAATAAATTGTCTTATTGTTCATGTTGACAACTCTTCATTGTAATCGCCAATTCTCCTCATCGGAATGTGAAAGTCGCTTTCGGTCAATTTCGCAACGCATTCGTAAATCTTTCCGTTCGATATCAAATCCTGAAACTCGTGATGAAATCATCGTGATTTGCCACCAACCGTGTTCCGAAATTCACCGCAGCGCTTGAAAATCTACAGTTCACGTAACCTATGCTATAAATTTTCAATACCGCCAGTGAACGTCGGAAAGAATTCAGCCTGTACGAACGTCTATTGAGACGAACTTGCATAATGCGTACTACGCACGAGGAAACCAGCCAATCACGATGTCGCTGATGTCGCTTTCCTCGCAACACACACGTGATTGGCCACTTTCCGCGCGCGTGTGTACCGCGTGATTCGAACGGGTCGTGGCGTGTGAGCGAGCCTTCACCTTCCCGGCGATTCCCGGCCATGATTGGTTGGCTCGCTCGTCGCTCGCGTTTCCCGCGCGCTCCCGCCCGAAATCGCGCGAAACCTTCGAATTCCTCCGGCGATTGATATGTCCATCCCGCGCGCGTTGATTAGCTCGTACTTGCGGCGTAAATCGCCAGTCGCGACGGCGTCGCGCCGCGTGCTCATCTATAAACCGCGAGCTCACGCACGGGCGTACATACGGCGCGCGGTACGCGCGCGCCGTGCCGGCGATAATGCGAGCGTTTCCAAAAAAAAACGCGCGCGTCAGACAGCGCGCGGCAGCAGCCGGTCGAGGAGCGGCGGCGGCGGCGGCGGATCGTGCGCTCGGACGCGTCGCCGTGATACGCGTTCTCGGCGACAACGGAGCGGCCGGATGGCATCGTGTCTCATCGCCGGCGTCGAAACAAGTGTCTGTATACAAGATGGCGACGCCCGGGGCTCTCACTGTCGCGGAGATCGCCAGGAAGTAGCGACGGCGGCGTGCGGCGTTGCGCTGCGACGGGCGCGTCAAGTGTGAGGTACGAAGAGGCGCGGAGGAGGAGGAGGCCGACGTGCGCGCTTCTGCGACGGCGACGACCTGACGTCCAGCCAACCAACCCGACCAACCGACCGGTGCGGCGGTGTAGTGCGCTGCGCTGCGGCGCGGTGCAGTGTGTGTGTGCGCGCGTGTCCGGGTAGAGCGACATCGAGCAGCGAGTATCGCAACGGCGGCGTCGTCGTCTCCTCAAAGGATGTGGCCCGAAAGACGAAGGAGAAGACAGGCGGCCCGCTGAGCCTCTTCCTTCTTAGCCCCGCGGGTGGTTGGCTAGCTGGCGCGCCTGACGGGCACGCAGGTAGGCGACCAAGTGGCTTCTCGGGATCGGGGGAGAGGGTAGTAGTCGGACACTGGGCAACGTTGTCGCAGCGGAAGGAACTCGCACGTCCCGGACGGCCGTTCATTCGGCGTGTACGCCGCGGCTGCTTCGGCGTCCATCATAGTTCTCGCCCGTCCGGGTGAGGTGTGCGGTCGTCTTCTCTCTTTCGCCTCCTCGTGAGTGCGTAACGAGGCTAGGAAACGAGGTGCCTCAACACGTTGTGCGTCGTCCTATAGAGACTTAACGTCGACGCTGCTACGGGAACGAAGGACAGAGAAGGACGCGCGTGAACTTCTTCGGGAGGGAGCGAGCGAGCGAGAAAGAGAGAGAGAGAGAGAGGAGAGAAAGAGAGAGAGAGAGAGAGAAAGAGTGTGTGTGTGTGAGAGAGTCGCGTCGTAACGGCGCTGACGATATCGGCAACGCGACAACGACGACGGAGACGAAGACGGCGGCGACGATGACGACGATAGAGTCGAAAGTGAGGTACGACGAGCTTTGTCGCCTGTGCGCGTCCTACAATGCCGTCAAGGTGGACATATTCGGCCCGGATGGCAAGGACCGACAACTCGTCGACAAGATTTTGGTCTGCCTCCAGTTCAAGGTGAGTTCCTCCTCGCTCTTTGTTCACGTCTCGCTCTTTCCGTCACGCCGCCGATGACGACGAGGCTGTCCTCTTTACATTGTCACGCTCGCTTTTACTATTTTCTCTTTCATTTTCGCGTTCCTCCCCGCTTCTTTTATCTCCTACGATCTTATCCTGTTGCCCCTCTCGTTTCTTTTGCTTTCTCTTTCTCTTTCTCTATCTCTCGCGCTCACTCTTGCTCTGTTTCTTCATCTCTCTTTCTTTCTCTCTTTCTCACGTACGCAATTTCGCGCGTTTACGCCTTTGAATAATTTACCTTGCACATGTTGGCCCACAACACGTCTCGTCCTCGATTCCATTCTCCCGAAAAACGAGACAGAGTATTACGAGAAAGCGAGAGAGAAAGAGGGAGAGAGCGGGCGAGTGAGAGAGAGAGAGAGAGAGAGAGAGATTCAGGGACGAGTTTCTCGACGTCGACGGGCCGTTACTGGGTGAAGGTTTCCCTCCCGTCGTCATCGTCGGCCATTGCGCTTGCCGAGTGCGACGATGTCCTCGGTGACGAGTATTCACCCAGTGGAATCGTTCTCGACTGAGGACAACGTGGCTGCAAGCGAATGAGCGAGCGACAATGCAGCGGCAACGAGAACGAAACCTTCACCCAGTAACGACCCGACGCGCGTCTCGTTCGTGAATTTTTCTCTCTCTATCTTCGTCTCTCTTTCCCCTCACTCGCCCGCTCGTTCGCTCTCTCTTTCTCTCTCTCGCTCTCGCTCGCTCGCTCGCTCGCAACGCTCGATCCTCGAGGAGGGACGCCTCGTCGCGCGACACGCCGGCGACATTTTGTTTTCCGCTACGGCATTCGTGCTCCTCCACGAGACTCAGGGACTGGCAACGAGCGTTATCGCCGTCGCAGCCGCCGGGTCAAACCACCTCTAATGCGTAGTACGAGCGCGCGGCGGCTGGTCATCTCCTCCGGCGCGCTCTCCGAACTTTCCCGATGCACCTCGACGTTCCACGTTCTTACCATCCCTTCGTCACGTCGAGCCCTTTGTCGACGCTTTATTCACTCTGCATCCGGTGAAAAGCGCCGGAACTCTCGTGCGCTCTGGGAGTCTTCGTTCGAGACACTCGAAACGCGAAAGTTCGCGAGGAAGCTCGTGAGCTTTTGCGTTCGGGAAATTCGATTAAGTCCGCGAAAATTAGCCCCTAGGTCTTTTGGTCACCTTATCACGCGAATGCACTGCGAGTTTATTAATCTTTAATGAGGTCTCCCTGCCCTGTTCTCTCCCTTTTCCTAATTCCCGGTGATTTTTGTACGATGTGTCAAACGGTAATTAAAACCTCAAATTGTCAGATCGATTAAGGATTGCCGTACGTCGTTTCCTGGCCGAAACGGCTTCCGGCGGATTCTTCGAGCAGGGCTCGTTTGATCGCGTCTCAAGCCAACGATGCACGATGCTTATTTTCGTGCTGGATTGCTCGCTGGACAGAAATACTGCGTTCTGATTAGTGCATTTTTAAAAATGGACAATACACCGATTAAAACGCAGTATTTCCATCCAGCAAACAATCCAGCACGAAAACAAGCAACATGTGCCGTTGGCTTCAGAGGATTAACAGTCATTATTGAAAATTTGCCTCAAGCGAGATACTCAGATTTGCATTAAGAGTTCGATCTGGATTTTTCAGTCGAGTCGCACTTACAAATAGAATGTCACGTGCATTGCAAAATTTCACTGAAATACTCAGATCTCTAACTTTAAATTCAGGTCTTATAGGGTGGAAGGGGGGGGGGCAAGTTTCAAGCGGCGATTATTTATACAGGCCTTAGAGTTCTAGATCGCGTATCTCCGAGAGTTGTACTCACTGAAATTAGTACCGCGAGGTACTCGCCGGTTTACGAAACGCGGTGTGTATCTTCTGATAATCGTATGAATCACGTGGAGTTTACAAAATTTGAGTGACGCGTGATAGCTGGCGCGTGAATTGGAATGTTGATAAGGGGCGTAACATTCATCAACAATAAGAACAGATTCATTCGGATGATATAAGTCGGTCAATTTAATCAGAAAATAATTTACAACCCATTAAGAGTCGACGCAGGTAAACATATGCGAGAAATCACTCGTAATATAACCAATAATCGCAATCGGCCAATTCGCCTCAGACTTTTCGCAGAATTCTCGTATTAAATAACAGATGATGTAACAACGATCGTATGTAATGGGATGATATACATAAAAGGATGGTATATATAAAAGTATTTGTTTTCTAGCAGTTAATGGCCGATTAATTCAGCGCTGAGATAAATCGGTAATCGCGACGTTATTTAATATCAAGAAGATTTCGCATCTCTCATTCTTCGGTTAGTTTCAGAGAGGCCTCAGGCTCCTCATCAATCACAACAGTCGTACTTGATTACGACATCCGAAGCGAGAAATTGCGTTCGCTATTCATTTTCGCGGTATGCATCGAGATAAATTAATTGCCTTGAATTTCGTTCTATTTGTCTTTGATGACCTAAAAGCTGGTAAAACATATCTAAGATCCTTTTTTGTACAGCGTGCGCAGAAAAAAGATCACACGACTGTAATGATCTATCGAGAGTTTCTTTTTTACAATTAAACATTCGCATCATTGGATGCTTTCATAGCATCGAAAACACACACGACGAAGAAAATCGTCAAACACGAACATTAAGTTCTCAAGATTCGCTACACTTCTTTGTCGACTAGCTTATTTTTTCCGTTAAGATTTTTATTTACACGGGCAAGAATTGGGCTAGCGTGACTCCCCAGAGAACATTAAGACGTTCTAAGATGTCATAAAGACGTGTTTGAGATAATTAGGTATATAAACGACGTCTCTCTGAGACGTCTTTTAGACATACATGTTGTGTATGGATTCTATTTAAACACCGACATGTATTGAAATTTAATTAATTGCTCATGGAAATCATCACAATTGCTATGTTTCAGATATCGGAAGACGATGGTTTGCCGAAATCTCTATGCACTAGATGCGTGTATAATTTGGAGAATTTTTACGATTTTAGAACTGCATGCATCAATGCAGTTGCTTTGTTAGAGAGATGCCAGCCATCGAGAGATGCGGTAAGTGTTTTGATTTTACAACGGAAAACGTTCAACCTTTGCGCATCCTTCCACTTGATTGGCGAAGGAATATTCCTGCGTTACTTCACCCTAACTTCTTATTAATAGTTGTTATTTGAAACTTGTTTTAAAGGAGATACTCAGATTTGAATTCAGTTATATATGAGTTTTTCAATCGAATAGCGAATTTGCAGATACAAGGTTAAATATATTATAAGATTTAAATGAAAAATTCAAATCTAATTTTCAGTTCGAAATTTGAGTATCTCACATGAGACGAGTTTCAAGTGGCACAAATTTATACGAGCCGCAGTAATGTTAATCTTTTATTCTGGGTTTATGCTTTTAACTGCAAGTCTTGGAGACGTGTAGTGATTAAAAAGAGAAAACTTGAAAACATTCTTAATGTGACATATATTTTTAAAGACATCATGTAGGGGGAAATTGGCAAAGAAATAGACGAGAGAGAGAGAGAGGGGGGGGGGAGATTTATAAAAAATATCTTTTTTATACAACTTATTTTTGCTTCACATTATATGATATCGAGCGATATTTTTGACAGTTTCTATTACATATAAAAAAATCTCTACTGTGAATTTGCAAAAGTTGCTTAGTATTTCATGCACGAGAGATTTTTATTTGAGACAGGTCGCAGAAATACATGTTACGTTATGATGGGATGCGATATTTCTCTAAGCACTCACTCTGCAGCGGAAAGAGATTGATTTTGGAGGAAAGCGGAGCAGCAGCAGCGCGGATATTACACAGTCGAGACACACGCCGTTTTAGATGAGCGTCAACAATTTTGTATTTTGTGTGTCGTAGGCGAACAATGACGGTGCAGATAATGCCGCGCAATGCGACGAAGTGCATGCGGAGTTTCTCAAGGAGAAGAAAAACACACCGGTGCTTATCCCGGAGGCGCCTATAGTCAATCCTAATGCGGCGTTAGGCACACCACCGAGATTGAATTCCGACGGCGAAGCGGATCCGGAGGTCGAAGAGATCCTCGACACGAGCGAGGGCACCGATGAAGGTACGTGCTGCTTGTCTGTGTTCCATATCTCACGTTCCTCTTATTCCGTACCGAAGAAAATAGTCACTTACTCACGTCTTACTCGTGTCTTATAAAGCGACAGTGGTCGATGACTCGGAGGATCGAAGATCGGAATACGAATATGAGATGGACATGGAGACGAATCCCAGCGACTTCTTGGAGATGACACCGATGGTAACCGAGGATAACGAGGAGTGCGACGCGAAAAACATCGTCGCGACGACTCCCCAGGACAACAATGCCGCGGTTTTTCAGCACACGTCGCAGCAGCACGAGGTGTATGTTTGTTCTTTATGCAACAAAGCGTTCAGTTCCAAAGGTCACTTGTCTCTTCACGCGAGGATTCACGTGGGTGAGGGCGATGTGATCGGGGAGAAAGTTATCACCGACGATCACACGTCGTTCAAGCGGCCGTACCAATGTGATCTCTGCCATAAATCGTATTCCACCGCGAAGCACCGATGGGGACACGTTTCTACGTCGCACAGGTGAGCGAATTTTGGTAATCTACAGACCTGCTTATGCAGAAATTATTATGTCATTTAATTATTTATTATGATTACCATATATATATATAACATAAATGTATAATGTGTTCATCGTCAATACTTTTAATTAAAGTTGTTCCTATAAAACGAGTCGCATGAAGTCGAAGTCTGCCTACTACAAGTCGATTAGTTGGATTACCTAAAAACCTAATTGTTATTTTGATAAAAACCCCGGTCTGCAATTGGCAAACGCACTACATGATCTTGGAACCTAGTTTCCGTTTGATACACAATTAACGTTAGCTTAGAAATAACGTCCGTAGTAATCTTACTGTTTTAAATGTTAATGCTTACTGTTTTAAATGTTGCGTGTGCACTGTTTTTATAAAGGCAAATTTAAATATAAAGAGGATCGACGAGTAAGAGATGATTATTTCACTGAATGTAATGATGAATTGCGGCAAGACTATTATTTGCCACTCCTTGCCCAGTTTTTGCCAGGCTGAGCTCGAGTAGATGTCGCTGATATCTTTAATTGGCGATTGCTTTGCTTCAGAGGACATCCTGCCGTGACGTGCAGATACTGTTCGAGGATATATTCGACGCGAATAAATCTCGAGGAGCATGTGAAGTCGCGGCACGCTGGTCTACCGGCACCGCCCCCGAACCTGCCGGTTTCGTTCTTCCGCTCGGATGCGCGCCATCAGTGCAAAACATGTCCAAAGGTGTTCGTCGACCAAGCGGACTTCAACGCGCACAGCCAGATCTGCACGGAGGAGCAGCAGCGTATGGCTTTGCTGGAGAAGATCGAGCCATTACAGAGCAACAAGAGCCTGGCCGACACGTCCGACATCTCCAGCATAGACACGGACGACGAGAACAAAGACTACAGGAACGCCGAGGCTAAGTTGGCGAAGAATCCGCAGCTGACTATACTGAAGCAAGCGTTGACCAAAGGAGAGAGCCTGAAACGGGACTACGACGACAGCTCGACGCCCGATTGCAAGCCGAGAAAAATCGCTAAGATAGGTAATCACTCGCGAAGTCGCGCGGAAGAGCCGACGAATTTTTCCCACGCGTTGATTTTCGATTACTTCGTACGGAAATGTATATTTGCCACTTTCAGACAACTGCGAGGCGAATCCTCCGAAGAGATGGTACTGCGAAGCGTGTCCGCAGAGTTTCACGTCGGTGGACAGCTTAAAGGAGCATGAGATCACGCACGAGGCCGAGAAACCGTTTATTTGCATACTGTGTCAGAAGGATTTCGTGCTGAAGTCCTCATTGAGCAGGCATATCGTGACGATACACGGTGTCGATCCCACGCCTATCGTTGATAGTGATAAATGCCTGAAGAGGGCCGTGATGCCTCCGAGTTGGAACGATCAAATGGACGTCAGTGTTTACGAGCAAGACGAGATGAAGGAATCGCGAGAGTTCTCGTCGTCACCGGAGGTAAGCGTGGACTTTTCCTCCGCGACTTTCGCTTCGTGAAAAATATTGTATCGTCACAATGTGTTATGTACGTTACGTATGTATTGCTTATGCTTACCGTTGTTGCATTATTAACCAGGAAAATCTGGAGAACGACGAGAAGGATTCCAAGAACAATCACGAGAACATGATAGAAATAGAAACGGTGTTTGTATGCGAAATTTGCACGAGAGATTTCAACGATCGCGCGTCGTTGTGGCTGCACATACGGGCGACGCACAAGGAATTCGCCGCGTTCGCCTGCGGAGTGTGCCTGAAAATCTGTTCGGACAACACGCAGCTTCAGAATCACGTCAACATGTACCACGGGGGATCCAAACTTTTGATATCGGAACAAAGGAGGTACAGTCTCGCCTATATTCCTTCAGTGTTATTTAAATCGGCGCTTACAGATTGCGTAGTAAAATTCGTGTTAGACTGTATATATATACACACAAGGTCTCGTTCTTATCTCGTAATTATGCCGTATCCATCGCACATGTAACTTGCTTATCACGAATGTAATATCGAAGTGCGCTTTGATACCGGTGTACAGGTACAGCTGCACGATATGCGGCAGGCAACATGACTCGAGGAAAAAGCTGATTGCTCACGTCTCGATACACAACGTCGATCCTGCCTACGACCCAGCGCATTTTGTACAGTTAAATAGTAATTATTACAACGAGAACTTGAACGTTAACGAAGGAAACGAGCAGGCGTTGGACTTCGACGGTGAGGACGGCGAGAAGGTCGATTGTTACATCTGCAACAAGTCGTTCCCGAACGAGGATCATCTTATACGGCATCAGAGGAATGCTCATAAGGTAATATTGTGCGGAGTTCGAATTGCATTTTGCTGTACCAATCGTGCGTTATTCACGTCCAACGAATGCGTGTTACGAACATTTTGGCGGGCGAAATTGCAATAGCCGCCGCCTGCGGGGGCAGAGTGTGAACTCAAGAGAGCCGTTTGCTCGTTATTTATATTACAGTCTGAACAGGTACTTCCAGTGAACGTAGCGGGAGGCGGAAATGTACTGAGCGTCAACGGTAATGGCAATAAAGGGCAGTCTCATTTGTTTTACGTGTGCGAGCTTTGCGGCAGTTCTTACTCCAGTAAATGGGAACGTTGGCTGCACATCAATAACGCGCATAACGATGTATCTTCCATCAGGGTAAGTCCCAGAAGCAAACGATAAAAGAACATTTTGTACCTTTGTTCGGTCCTTGTGGAAATTTCTATGTTAAATTTTTGACACTCCCGTTAATGTTAATTCCACACATTGTGTCGATGTAGTCTCAATATATTTTGCGTTAATATTCAGCAGTGTGTAAATGTTAAAATAACACATTTTACACTTCTCAATGTCGATTAACACTATATTAATTTTGGGTTAATTTTGGATATAATATTTATATTGCTTTTTAACATATTAAACTTGTGTTGAATCAACACAAAAATTGGTGTGAACCGTTTGGGGTATGTGTGAAATTTAACGCACAATTTCTCACCGTGAAGGGAATATTAAAATGTTTGCTCGTGCTTCTTATTCCTCCCTCCTTTTTTTCCTTCTTTTTCTTTTACGCTTTTTCTTTTACCACTTTTTGACTTGGATCATGTGGTTTTAGTGCGAATTCAAGGACTGTGGGAAGATATTCGCGACGAAGTCGTTGCGCAACGATCACATCCAGCACCATATGGTCCAAGGCGCCTCGCCGAACACCTGCGAGGTGTGCGGCAAGTTGTGGGCCACTCGGGTCGACTATTGGAAACACGTGATGGGAGTACATTCGGACACAGTGCCTAGGGTTTGTGGTGTTTGTCTAAAGATATTTCCGGACGTGATGCAGTTAAGCAGACACGTGAAGGAGAAACACTGGCCGTTGACCGGCGGCGATTTTTGCTGTGATATTTGCGGTAGGCCCTATTCCAATAAATCAAAGATGTCCCGGCATAGGAAGATCCACGGCTTGGAGGTGGACGCGTGTGATAATAGCAGCAGCATTAACGAAACGACCAACGAATCGTCCAAGCTCGATCACAACGGCGCCGCGGAGATCGAGCTGAGCTGCGACCAGTGTCCCGACCTCAAGTTCTCGACGCTGGACAGTTTGTGCAATCACAGACGTATAGTGCACAGTCTCTTCCCGTGCGACCTGTGCAACAAGTGCTACGGCAGAACGTCGCACTTGTGGAAACACGTGAACAGGGTGCACAAGGGTCACACGGACGTCACCTGTCCGTACTGCCTGAAGACCAGCGCCTCGCGGGATCACCTGATAGCGCATATCGCGAAGATCCACAGGTACGAGCCCGACGTGGGCAAGGACAGCATGAATTGCGCCACTCCGAAGTCCTCCAGCATCGACGACGGTGTCCTCCATTACTGCGAGAAGTGCAACAAAGGATTCCACAAGCGTTACCTGCTCAGGCGTCACATGAAGGGCTGCCAGAACTACCGCAAGGATCCGGGCGCGCTGTTGACCCGCTGCCGGGCCTGCGAGCGCATATTCAAGGATCGAGCGAGCCTGCAGAAACACATCGAGAATCATCACAGCACGTACACCTGCCACTTGTGTAACGAGACGATCACGTCCAAGTTGGGCATCATGACGCACAACCGCGTCAACCACATGGACCACCCGGACCTGACGTGCGACCACCCGAACTGCAAGAAGCTGTTTCGCACCAAGGAGGACCTGGAGTCGCATCGGAAGGACCACAAGCACCACACCAACCTGAACGTCTGCGACTTCTGCGGCGACACCGTGGAGAACAAGCTTAAGCTGAAGATGCACGTGCTGTCGTTGCACCGGAACGAGATCGGCGTGTCCTGCGGCGTCTGCCTGATACCCATGAAGGACCCGAAGGACCTGAAGAAGCACGTCGAGACGGAGCACAGCGGCGTTCTCTCCAAGCCGAACACGTGCCAGGTGTGCGGCAAACAGTACGCGTCCAAGTGGAAAGCCTTCGACCACACGAAGAAGTGTCACGGCAAGGTCTTCCTCACGTGCAAGCAGTGCCTGGCGGTCTTCACGGACGAGAACGACATACGCGAGCACTACGAGCACGTGCACAACGTGCCGAAGGACCAATTAGCCGCGTTCGAGTACAGGATGGACCTCGGCGCCAAGCGGGAGGGCTACGAGACCCCGGACATCATCGTGAAGGAGGAGCCGGACGACCTCGAGTTTGACGAGGAGCTGTGCGACGAGGACTCGAGCGACGCGAAGGGCAAACGGCCGGCGAGCGACACGTACGACTGCGAGATGTGTCCCGAGATGTTCCTCAACTCCGAGACCCTCTCCAAGCATTACCAGAACGTCCACAACACCGATCCGGTGCGCATGTTCAAGAAATTCAAGAAAGACAACGGCAAGCGCAAGATGAGGAATAGGAGCAACTTCGAGTGCAAGAACTGCAAGAAGCAGTTCTCCACCAAGACCCTGTTCTGGAATCACATCACGGTGTGCACGCGACGGGGCGTCCTGGGCAGGCTGGAGATGCCGAACATCCCGAACTCGATCCTGGAGTCCCACCTGAAGAACAACAATCAGATCAAGCGGGAAGAGCCGATGCTGATGGCGACGAACGAGTCGAATCTCAACATCCCCGACTTCAACTTGTTCGAGGACATCAATATGCAACTTTCGGCGCAGAAACCGGTGCCGAATCTCATGCCGTTGTCGCACATGAAGCCGGCGGGCAACGCCGGCAAGTGTTCGCGCAAGGACTCCCGCAAGGTGTACGACGAGTCGACCAACACCGAGTGCACCTGCGAGGTCTGCGGCAAGCAGTGGCCCGCCAAGAAGCACCTCTGGCAACACCTGATCCGCTTCCACCGGGCCGAGGCCGCCGTCACGTGTGGCGTCTGTCTCAAGCTCTGTAAGACCTACCAGGACCTGGCCGACCATCTGAAGGCCACCCACGCGGCCATACTGTCGTGCGAGGGCAACAATTTCACCTGCAAGACATGCGGCAGGTATCACAACGCGAGGAGCAAATTGTTACTGCACACCAGCATCCATATCGGCATCACTGGGAACCACTGTTGCCAAAAGTGCCAGCAAGGCTTCATCAGCGAAGAGAAGCTCGCCGAGCACGCGGCCGGCTGCAACGGCAAGTCCGAGTTCGAGGAGCACGCGGAGGACGACAACGGCGAGAAGAACGACGACAACGACGAGAAGGGCAGTCTGATCGCCGACGAGACGTCGGTGATCGGCGAAGGGGACGAGGGTGACCTCGAGTCGGAGGCCGAAGGTAACGACGACGGCATCCACGAGGAGGACAGTAACAGCGACGACAACTCGGAAGACAGCGACGACTCGGATAGCAGTAACAGCAGCTCCAGCGATGAGGAGGGGGGCGGCGGCGGCGACGAAGAGGAGGAGGACGAGGAGAACGAGTCCGAGCCGGACACGAGGACCAACAGCAGAGCGACCGGTGACGTGTCGTGCAATTCCGAGAGCGTCGACGACTCCGACTCCGACGTGGAGATAAACGAGATCGAGGACAAGCCTGTAGTAAGTGATATCAACAGTTTTAGGATACGCGGCGTGCAGGAACAGCAGTCCGGCATGGGCGGTGGCAGGAGCGCGGAGAAACCGAAAGCCGATTTCGCGCCCGTCGTCACCGCCGAACAAGCTAAGCAGAATAATTTGAACAAGTTGATGGCTCCCCGCCCGCCCGCCAACACGGACGCGTTCAAGCCGTTGTATCTCGAGAAAACCGTCAAAGTCGCGGTGCGCGAGGTGAATTTGTCCGAGGATGACGACGACAACGATGACGACGACAACAACGATGAGGGTCGTGAAAATGAGAATTACGAGGAAGAGGTGAAAGAAGAAGTTGATGATGACGATGAGGATGATGAGGAGGAAGAGGCGGAGGAGGAGAAGGATAGAAGAGAAGAAAGAGAAAGAGGTGAGGGTAATATCGGTAATAATAACGATGATGATAATGACGATGATGACAATGATGACGACGACGACGACGATAACGATAATAATATTATTGTTAACGATGACAAGGATGAAGATAACGACGACGATAATGATGATGATGATGACGATGATGACGTCGATAATGATGATGATGATGATGATGACAACGGTAGTGGTGGTGGGGACGGTGTTGGCGATGGTAGTAATAATGTTGATGGTAACGATAATGATAACGATAATAATGAGGAAGGGAAAGAGCAGGAAGATGAGGAGGAAGAGATGGAGGAGGTGGAGGAGGAAGAAGAAGAGGAGGAGGAGGAGGATGAGGAGGAGGAAGAAGAGGAGGAGGAAGAGGAGGAGGAAGAGGAGGAGGAAGAGGAGGACGATGGAGAGCAGGAGGAGGAGGAGCAAGAGCAAGAACGAGAGCAAGAGAATGAGGACGATGATTATGGCGGCCCGCCCGTATTAAGCCCGGTAATGCCTCGGGAAAACGAGACGGAGGAGCAGAACGGTATGATGGACCGCACGAGGCACAAGCTCAGCCCTATGGTGCCGCTGAGCATGCACGTCGACAAGGGTCTGAACGAATGCGAGATCACGGAGATACAGAATGTGGAACACGCGGAGCAGCACGTGGTGGATGCTTCCTCGATATCGAACGCGCCGAATTTCTTCGCAGCCAACAACAACATCCTGCGCGTCATCTGGGACGAGGACTCGGACAACGCGGCGGCCGACGAGGATCGCGAGCGCGACTGTGACTCTGAGATCGGCGGTATGCGGGTATTGGCCGGCAACGGGCAATTCTGCAAGATGGAGGCGAACGCGGATAGCGACGACTTCGAGGAAGATTCCATGAACGGCCACGAGGAAGGCCACGCGACGGTGGAAGATAGTGGTAGGGACGGGCAGATGCATTGCAATCTGGACGGGACTGTGTTAATGGTGGCTAATGATTCGGAAGGTAATCAGATTTTGATCGAACAAAACGTCTTAACCATTGGTAACGAGGACTCTAACGCCGAGACGGCGCAATATATTTACCCAGAGAGCGCGTACGAGATCGCAGATTACGCGAGCGCACGGAACGAAAGTGACGGCATGCAGACGGACGAGATACAGGGTATATCGTACGTACAGGATACGTCGGAGAACGAGGAGGAGGAGGAGGAGGAGGAAGAGGAAGAGGAAGAGGAAGGAGAAGAAGGAGAAGAAGAAGAAGATGAAGATGAAGATGAAGAAGAAGACAGCGTGGAGGAAGAAGACGTCGGGGAAAACGGTGATAACGCGCGAAAGTAGGACTCGAGTGCCAAAACGAAAAGAGAGTTAGGGTATATGTGACTCTGTAATATATATATATATATATATACATATATATATATATATATAAAATGTAAGATAATCGATGCGCGCGCGAGCTGAAATGTGTTGGCTGAAGCCACCAAAAAACATGTCATATGTACCTTGAAAAGCGATACAATATTGTACAGTATAATTTAAGCGTAAAGAATACCCATATAGGACTTTTGATAGAGAGGATATGCGCGCGAGAGGGTGGCGATTCCACCCCACCCCACTTCCCCCTCCCCCCTCTCCCATACACATATACACATACACATATTGCAGGGAAACGTGACATTTTCATTTTCATTGATCTGCTGAGACCGTTGCATCCACGAAGTTGACATTTGACGCGTTATCGATATTACGAACTCCACGAAAAAAGAAAAAGAAAAAAACGAAAAAAAAATGCGCCCAGTTCTCTTTTCGAGAAGTTATAACGAGTACCGTTAATTTCTTTCATTTGTCGGCACGATTGTACTCCGTAAGTATTACGTTATTGTAATAAGAAAAGTAAACGAGCATGCGATTTGTGGTATCTTTTTTTACGCTTCTGATACGAAGAAGGTATTAAAGGTATTGATTACTGAATATTTCGTTATTTACATCGGCAGTGCTTTCTTGACAATAATACACCGAGTGACGGTCCCCATTCTTTGCGAGATTACCATCCGTTAGGCAATAGAATGCGATCGTGAAATTGTTGTCGGATTTTATTGATGACCGTGTACAGTCATACATTGTGTCACTCGGGTGCCCGGAAGGGCAACTTCGGACAAAATTCGAGATTCGTACGAACGTTTTTACACTGGGTTTTTACATTGGGTTTCAAAACGGATTCCGAGCCTTTTTTTTGAAGGCGATTCAGAACGCGCGGTTGATGGTCCAATGAGAATTTGATGGCAGGGTTGCCACAGACCTGGGAAATGTCAGAAAGGTCAGGGAATTTTAAAATTCATTTTCTGTGGCAACCTTGTCCTCTTCATTTTCGGGAATCAGTCAAAAAATAAATTCCCTCATTGGACCGTCGGGCGCGTCCCAAGGATCGGAAACGAACAAAAAAACGTTCCAACCGTTTTGAAACTCAGTATACAAGTCAGTATACAACAGACATTTTGATAAAATCCGCGTGGGATTGCAGGCCACAACACTTCCCGAAACACGTCGATTTACGATGTCGTACAATTTTTAACGAGGAAAAGAAAAAAGGAACTTCTGAAGTCTTCTGAAGTCAGTTCGGACGTTCCTTTTTTCCTCTCGTTACATTGTTTACATGTTAGATTAATCATACGTGACACGTATGGATGGATCTTTTTGGAACGTTGTCGTATGCAAGTAGCGATGAATTTTTAAATAAACAATTTTCTAACAGCACGTTACGCTTCCTTGTTCCTGTATTAACGTGTACATACATATGTTAATCGATCGTTAATAGTGTGACGTAAAAGAGTTGAAATCGACGACAGAGGGAGATCCTCGGTTTTAAAGCTTTTCTTCGGGAAATTGTTCGTGTAAATACATTCAAATGCTTCGGAAGTTACTTGGCAAGCCTTGCAATTTGGCGTTGATTTTATTATAAAATCTCCTGACACTCCCGCTCCGTCTCTCGTACAGTTGTTATTCAGGGACGGATACACAACTTGACCGAGTAATTTAAAACCACGCTACAAGCGGCAAGAAACTGACGATTGTGTTAGGAGGGAAAGTATTGCCGCGAAGTTTTAATCAACGAAGGAAAGGACAAAATGCATTAATTTGAACTCCGTTGGTTCTACGGTCGGTCATAAGACGGTAGCAACACTTCTTTTTTTCCGATGGGTTTCGTAACGCATCTCCAATAGGAAGACGTGTTTCTCGAAGATTACTAAAACATGAATTCTCTTATTGGGCATAGGATGCGTTCGCAAACTTGTCAAAGGAAAAAAAAATACATTAAAACCGTCTTGTCACTGACTGTATATCATCACTCACGACCATTTTCGTCCATTGATCAATCTTTCAACTTAATCTCCCGATGTTCCCCCCCTCTTCCCTTCCCTCTTTCTTTCTCCGTTCGTTTTAATAAATTTAATTTCATCATTATAGCAAATAATATATAGTGAAACGGAATAACTCGACGGAATAACGAACTATCAATAATACTGCGCAATTCAGAGGAATCATATTGTAATGGAAGCAGCAAAGTACCATCCACATTTTACGTTAAGACAGACTTAGCATTCTACTAGGGTTCTTCTATCTAGCGTTACGGAGAGACGAAGAACAAGCGAAAAAAAGCCCGTGCATTCTCGATATATATTTTTATGAAAGCGGAAGAAAGCAAAAGTTACTGTAAATAATAGCTTTAAATCGATCGATATGTACAGTTGGTGATGATGATGTGAGCGTGTTTCTACGTGTGCATGAATTCGTGTGTGCGTGTGTCAAGTGATGCGGGAGACGCGACTGAAGAAAAAAAAAAAACTTACATATACATAGTATGTTAATGAATGAAAACGTACCTCGATTACAATATTAACGATTAGTTGAGATTTTAGTAGGGCTACTGTACGATTGCTTTGTATCATATATTAATTTATCTCTCTTGCAGACCTTTTCTTTTTGTTTACTTTAAGAAGCCGAAGAGCTATCCATCAGTAATATCAGTATAGGATCTTTGTGTATTAATATTTACGTTCGGAATGAGAGATGTTTGGGTATGTATAATTTCGGAACGTTTTTTTTTTATGCATGTGTAGCGAAAGTGGTAGGTTAGAGGAACGAGAACGGCGTGAACACGTATGTGTCTCGTCTATTCACACCTTGTCGATTTCTAACAATTACGTGAGCGATCTCGTCCTCCCGCGATCTTTTTTCCCTTATTATTTATTATATTCATTCCAAAGTAATTGTTAAGGTACGTTAGATCGTACGAACGATCATACAACCGATTTTTGCCATTTGTATTATACGATTGTATATGAACGATCTATCACGAAATGTTGCGGAGAAGGAGGTTGGAATTGGAGAATATTATTTAGGATAAACGATTTTTAACACTGTGTCGTATATTCAGTATTGATCCCATACCATTTTAAATAGTGTCCTCTCTTCTTATACAGCGGCTAACGATCTACGCGCGATCTACGATGCGACGTTTCGAATAGAAGTACAACTGAAAATGCGAAATATTGTTACACTTTAAGTTAATAGGCCGATTATAATGTTAAATGGGTATCGGGTGATGTCGCGATGGACATTAATGTCGGTCCCGGAGCTAAATTGCAGATCGCCCGGTCTAAAAATGGATATGTTAATGGCAACTGAAGAGCCCGCGAGTCTGGAATGGACATCAATGTCGGAATGTCGGACCTCCCGTTTTTTCAAAGTTTTACCTCGCTCTGCGGCAGATCGATCGCAGATCATATGTGTTGTGTAATACAGACTCTTTGCAAGGAAATTATATATAATTTCTCATAAATTACCACTGTCCGTATTTGTTCATAACTCAAAAAATTAGATTGTAATAATTATTCTCCAGTGTTTTTGTAGAACCAGTGAAATTTCTCATTTCATCCCTCCTCGTTTCATCCTTCCCCACAATAGGAGATAAATAGATTAATGCGGCAACCGACTAATACATATCATTAGTAATACTTCGTATATAGAATCTTATTTCTTTTAAAAATTCGGAAAGCCTCCGCTGTTTTTCTCGTGAACGATGCAGCGGAAATTTTTTTTAAGTAAAAATTCAACAGAAAATATAATTTGATATGTTTGATAAGTTCAGAGGATTTCGACGAGTCAAGTTCTAAGTTTATAAATGTATAAAAAAATGTCATTGTGCTATTAATATTATTTCATTTAATACCACTACTATTATTATAGTTAATACAAAATTACTATTAAATTGAGATTTCGAAGTTTACATCATATTTCTTACGACTTTAGGAATTTGGTTTGTACATTGTCGCAACACTATGTCGTTTAAACGTAAGTTTAAACGTAAGGAGATACAGATGACTTCTTTTGTACAACTGACGAAATTCTTGTACGAGAACGTATCTTAATGTACTTATGCTAGTCACAATGCAGGCAATATACCAAAATCTATCTATCTTGGTGTAATCGTTATTTGAAACTTGTTAAATGTTTGGATTCTTGAGATATACGATCACTAGATCGCCAGAAACATAGGTCTGCAAGAGCCGGGCGCGACTGCTGGTGCGAATGAACTTTTACACGGGAGGATAAATGTGTTCTTGACAATGTTTTACAACATTGTTTGTTTTACAACATGTTTGACAATAATTAGTATTAATCAATTCCCTTAAATGCTGATTACTTCATTAGTTTGGGTATTTGGAGGGTTCATTAATATTAATTGGGCTAGAGGGTTCGGTTTAATGCGGAAAATTCTCCACGTATGTTTGAAAGTCTGACGAATTGGTCGGCACGTGCGTTTACACTGTCAAACACATTTGCCCTTCCATATGAAAATTTATTCGCACCAACACACACGCGCTCAGCTCTTAACAGGACTGTCTATGTTTGTAGTACTTGAAGCTTTTCTCAGATGAGACATTCGGATCTGAATGTTGAGTTAGATCTGAATTCTTCAGGTAAAATTTGCGATACATGTTGACATTATGTATTTGTAATCGTGATTCATCTGGAAAATCGAATCACAAAGCGTGATTCTCACTGCTAATTCAAATTTGACTGTCTCTCGCTTGAGACAAGTTTCGAATAGCTGTTAATACGGGTCCAAGACGTTCCCTGATGCTGGTCCGTAGTTATCTTGATGCATTGATAATTGCAATAAGACTCTTGCTTGTTGCCTCCTCTTTACGTTCGAATTTGCCCCGAAAAACCTGCCGCTTTTCGCATTACTTTCTCTTTCTTCGTCATTACGAGAGTTCGTCAGAGTGTCTGTCTGACTGAAGAAGGGTAGGGAAACGATGAAACATCCAGTACGAGAAAGAAATTTCATTAACTTTCGCGTACACAATGCGGGGGAAGAAATTGCGCTTGATTTCTTGTCTGTGATGTTGTAATCCGATATAGTTGCAGCGAACGGTCCGGAGCCCAACTATGAAGCTTGGAAACACGTGTCTATCTCAGCCATCCTGGTTGCGATGTCAAAAGCGAGGAAATTGCGAGGAAGTATACGCGAACGAATCTTGAAGCTTACATCTATATAAACGGCTTTTCGCTAACGGACTTGCTCCAAATTGATAAGACGAAGCGTGTCGGGAAGTTTTCTGTCCGATAGCTGCGGGATTTTTCTTCAAAATAAAAGAACGGAGAACGGAATTTCCTAAATACAGTGCGTGCAATCGTGTTTCGTTATTCGATTCGACGCTTCGTGGATCTTACCTTTTTGCTATCGGCTTGATAAAGAAACTCGCTGGAGGATGGTGACATTTGTTTCAGGGAGTGGCACAACTGAATCGAGGCTTAGCTTCATATTTATTGTAACTTTTCGCAAAATATATTAAATTTTCTAAACATTTCTTCTCTCTCTCTCTCTCTCTCTCTCTCTCTCTCTCTCGCGGGAGTCTGTTCCTCTTAAGGATTTGTAAATTCCTTGCAACAATCAAGATGTTACACGCACACTATATACACAATATTCACATTATATTCGTATAGAACCGCTTACAGTCGACACAGTTTACGTGAAAGTAAAACTTCGTACATAAAGAAAATGACGAAACGAAGAAACTCTTTGGCCATTGTCACGAAAATGTCACCCCCCTCCCTATAGACAATGAAAGCTCCAAGTGTCGTACTTCCAAGCGTTAATGCTCAGGTACCTGCACGGGGTCTCCCTTTTAGGCTGCGCGAAACGTATCATCACGCAAAACCACCCTTGAACATTCTTAAGTTTTTTTTTTACTTATGATACAGATGCGCAAGATTTTTCTCTAATTGATCGCACAGTTAAGGCTAATACCGTATCGACATTTATTCTAACTGTAGCGTTGATGACTTTTCATTTACGATTGCGTTACAGAAAGATGAGTATTAGTATTAGTATACAGCTGATCAGTGTACGGCGTTTTATTGAAGGGAGATTCAAAACTTTACAGTTACTTTGTAGTGCTCACTAAACTGAGTGAAAAAAAAAAAAATAAATGCTTAGTCAACGGGAGTCTATGGATCAATTGTTTCACATAGCGATTTTCTACAATCTAAAAATAAAAGGTCACACGTTACACGGAGTTATCTTATCATTTTGTTATTTTAACTTATTAAATGAAATGGCATTCTGTATGTCATCTTTTTATTTCAATACACGCTTGACATTTCCCTCTGTACCATTTCTACGTGGAAATGAAGTTTCTACGTGGAAATATGCAAAAATTTTAAGATTTTAAAAAATAAACAGAAAATTTAAATATAAATGAAATGTAAGAGAGAAAATTAAGGAGAAAGCGAGTGAGTGGAGTTTAGTGAATACTGCAAGGCTGCAAAATTTTGAAACGTCTTTCAGTAACATTCTATATATTACACGGTGTTACATTAATATTAAAGTATATCAAACAAACCGCGTTATACTCGAAATGATTGGCAAGAAACATTGATACATCAATTAATCGCCTTTGGATGATCGCATGAGCAACTAACAACGAATTCTTCGCTATGCTCGAGAGTATAAAAACGACGATCGAATGATCATTGATATGATTCCTCCCCTTTGAACATTTAATTGTAAACAGGATCGTCTTCGTTCGGTTCCGCTCAAGACGAGATTTATTGTGAAGAGAATCACGCCATGCTCTTTTTTATGTTGATACGTAGATCCTGGTTATGTATTGATCGCTACAAAAATTAAATCTGTCCAGTTAAAGGGGAAGGTAGTAGGTTGGTGACTTTGAAAAGTATTACTTTTTGTTCTTTTTTTGCATTTTTTAAAATATAAAAGCGTTCAGAATATGTGCGTAAATCTGCATGCAAATCCGATGGAAATTAAGAGTTATGCAATTTCGAACGCTGCGAGATCGATATCTTGAAAATCTACCCCCTCTGGTTTCGCTGCAATTTCCGCAGCGGTGATGGATGTTGAACTTGCATCACTAAACGAGATAATGGCAAGAAATACTGAGAAAAAAAACCCGCAAAGTGCAACAGCTTTGTTAAAGGTGTTCATTGCGTCCGTTAATTTCTTCGAAAATAATTCGAAAGAAAACAGCTATTCTTGGCCAATTTGCTATCCGGTCCAATTTGCCATTCCCCCTCAACGCCCGTCCCACTTTCGCGATCCAGTCAATTCTGTTTCTGTTAAGAAAATAAATTACGGGGCTTTTCATAGACTTTGGGAAATCCTGAATTCTAGGCCGTGGACTTCGGACTAGGTAAGCTGCCTCTCACTGCAAGCTCTCGATCTTTTTTATTCAGTATTTAACGATGGGACGACACACAGTGGTACCAGTCACACTTCGAGGAATTCGAAATGCAAAATCGTATTGTTTCGTCATATTATTATTATTATTATTATTAAATCAATACCCCACGATACATTTCATAGGCTTCTGTAAAAAAAAATAAAATAAACCGATAATACCATCGAATTACGTGTCGCAGTTTTTCAAATAACGCAATAACATTTAACGTGTTAACGCAAATTAAATTAATACTTTGAGCACCGGTATCTACGCGTGCATCGATCGTATGAGGACATTAATTTATGTCTCCGGTCTTCAAAGTGCTAATTTAATTTACGTGACTTATCATGTGACTCATACCACTAATACCCCCGAGTAGCGCGCGCGCTCGTAAATCACTGCCACGTTCCTCGGAGCTCGCATCAACAAATAGCTCGACAGAGATTGCCGGGATGCCCCCCTCCCCGTCGCCCACATCACGAAGAAGCCCGTGCTGGTCCCGTGCGCGATCAACCCTGTCCGACGGTCCGATGGTCATCAACACTGCGTCTGGTCGCTCTCGTCGTGCAAGTCACCGCGCTTGATGAGCACCCGCGCGTGGTTGTTGTTACCGTGATTACTGGCTCGACTGGTGGCGACCATCTGCACGGCTTGGTGTTGTTGTTGTTCCTGATGCTGGGCCTCGGCTAACTTGCAGTCGTCCTGCGGCACCGTCGACGCTGCTGGTTGATAGTCACACCTTCTCCTCTCCCGCCATCGGACCTGCGGTCGAGCGGATAAACTGAAACAGCCAACGTTCCACAATGGACTCGACTCGGGCACGCTGCTGTCACTGGCACGATACGGACGGATCATGTCTATATACATATACATATATATATGTATTTATTCTCTTTCTCCCTCCCTCCCTCCTTCTCGCTCCTCCTGTCTTTCCGCGTCCACCCTTTCCCCCTCTTTCATCTCATTTTCTCCCTCACTCGCTCTCTTTCTTCCCCTCACACCTTTCCTCTCATCTCCTTCTCCCCCTTTTCCTCTCCCTCATCTTCTTTTCCCGCTCCGTTTGGCCCCCATTTTTCAACACCCTTCTATCCCTTTTTACCCTTTTCACCCTTTTTTCACCTCTCCTACTCCTCCTGCTCTAATTCTCCCTCTTTCCTATTCCTCTCATTCACCCTCCTTTCATTTTCCTCCTCTCTCTCTTTTCCTCTTTTCCTCACTTCCTCTCACATTCTCATTCACACATTCGTTCGTCCACCATTTCCCTCTTCCCAGTATCCCAATTCTGCTCTTTTTCTCTAATTCTTCCTTTATCACACCCCTATCACCCCTTCCGACTCCACCCCTCCCTCTTTGTCTCTCTTTCTCCCTTCAGCCATCCTATCCCTTCTTCTTATTCCTTCTTTTCAGTTTTTTTCCGTCCCCATTTTTCATCCCCTTTCCCTTGCTTTCCCCTCATTCTAATTCACTTTCACCTCTCACTCTCTCCTTTTCACTCTTTTTCTTGCTCCCTTTTCCCGTCCTTTCTCGTCTATAACAGACGGTTTATTATTCGACTGCGGTGCATCGCGTTGCTGATAGACACTGCACAACCGCAGCTTTGCGAACGAGTGTTAGTACACGTGTGTACGTTAGTGTGCAGGTTAATATTCGAGGCTGACCGTGTTAGTCCGCATCGCACCATTGACGAGTCGTGCATACGGGAATTTCAATTCGGGGAATGTCACATTTGTGCGTCAAGCGCGACTTTTTCTCATCAAATTCGCAGGAGTGCTTTTCATCGTGCCGCGCGTTCGCGGATCGTTCACAAAGGTGACACGCACAGAATTCTATGGTTTATCGCCGCGATTCGCCGTTTCTATCGAATCCTGTGTTTGCAACTTCCCCGTGAAAAGGAAAATAATATAAGCGGAATATTGAGAATTCGTCAAATTGCACACGGGGAGCTATTTAAAAAATATTTCTCGAAGCCGTGAAATTAAAAAGTGGCAGTTAAGGGGCTATCCGAGTGGCTCGAAAAACATTCAGTGTTTGAATTTTTCTGCTGAACCTACTATTAATTTAATGAAAATGTCCTTTTAAACGATAATTCTTTATATTTTTATTTATATATTATATGAAGCTCATTACAAAATGTCGATATGTAACGCTGTTATTACTGTTTCCACGAAGCTCGTCATCGCTAAACGGCATCTAAAATATCTGTGGTTTTTCATAGATATTCTTAGCAAGTTTTTGTCGTATTGTATGCTATCTCTTATAGTTTTTTATTATCAAAAAGAGGAGAAATTTTTGGAGGAGAAAAATCGAACTTTCAACCTCGAATGTTAATAATATTATTAAAAATTAGTATTTTAAAATTCAGTTAATTAGTATTTTAAAATCAGTAAATTAGTATTTTAAAATTCAGTTGCGAAAAAAACTAGATAATCTTACTAAGAATATCTATGCAAATCTACAGCTAAATCGGTCCGATATTTTCCGAGATATTTCGGGTATCGATCAAGCGATGACGAGCTTCCCTTACAGAAAAGTATTATTGGCTTTGATAAATTGGCCAGTGATAAATGATTGTTGCTCAGTAGTTTTATTATTCGAGTACGAGTAATAAAACCGAGCAACAATAATTTATCACTGACTGATTTATCACAGCCAGTAACAGCCTTTTCTGTAAGGTTTCACGGAAGCGGTAATAACAGCGTTGCATATCAACTTTTTGCAATGGGCTTCGTGTGTAATATGCAAATAAAAGTATGAAAAATCACCCTTCAAAAGGACATTTTCATAAAGTCAATAATGTGGTCAGCAGAAAAATTCAAACGTCGAGCGTTTTTTTTTTTCGAGTCGCTCACGTGGGTACATGCGATTAGCCCCTTAAATGAAGAACAATGTTCGCGCATGTCTCCAACTCGCCTATCGCTCAAATTGTTTGCATGTTAAGTAAACGCTTTACGATTCGCTCGCGAACGTCGCGGTCAGATGCCAAGCGAAATAATAAATAGCGTGACTGTCGCTCGTCAGCTTCGTCGCGTGGAAGCGATTGGAAAGATTGGTCGGTTTAATCGTTCGTGGAAGGGAAACGAATAATAATAACAGCAGCGACTACGCAGGACGATAAAGGAGAATAGGCAGGAGATCCGGAGATCCCCGAATTAATCCGTGATTTCACAGATAAAGGATTCAATTTGCGGAGAGAATGTGTCCACACCGCATTCCTCTTAATCCAGCCGATCTCTCTCTCTCTCTCTCTCTCTCTCTCTCTTTCCCTCCCTCTCCTTCTCTTCCTTTCTCTCTCGACCGGGTTTTATATTTTTCAACAATAGCCGCGCGAAAATAAACGGGAAAAGCTGAACGACAGTGTCGTTCTCAAATCGATCGCAAAAAAAGCACATCCGGACTCTTTTCGTCAATATCGCATACCGAGACAGTTGTGGCCGTGCAGGAGTTGGCCCGTTTTCGCAAAAGCGCGTTGCCGTCCCACTTCCTCTTGAACTGCGCTATTACCTGGCGGCAGAGCACAGGAGGAAAAATATCATTACACACGGTTACCGTTACGGCGGCATTGGCCGTTTTCCGCCGGCCGCGGAACTTACCTCGCCGTTGCAAAAGCAGAAAAGCACAGCCACGCAGAGACCCTGGAAAACGGGGGAGAATGCATTTTATTTCGATATTCGAGAGATCGCGCAGGTGAAACGCTTCCGGCGGAAATCTTCCGTCGATTTTATTGCCATTTCACATAAAATACGGAAAAGCGGGCACTTCCGGTCAACTTTCAAATTTAATCGCGCATCACCACCGCCGATGGCGAATCGTAGAATACAGCTTCCCCCCAGTCCCTCCTCCCA